AATGCAGGGTCCAGGGAGAGCGGATATAGTGAATGCAGGGTACATGGAGACCGGATATAGTGAATGCAGGGTCCAGGGAGACCAGATATAGTGAATGCAGGGTCCGGGGAGAGAGCAGATAAAGTGAATGCAGGGTCCGGGGAGACCAGATAGAGTGAATGCAGGGTCTGCGGAGACCAGATATAGTGAATGCGGGGTCCGGGGAGACCAGATAGAGTGAATGCAGGGTCCGGGGAGACCAGATATAGTGAATGCGGGGTCCGGGGAGACCAGATAGAGTGAATGCAGGGTCCGAGGAGACCAGATAGAGTGAATGCAGGGTCCGGGGAGACCAGATATAGTGAATGCCGGGTCCGGGGAGAGCAGATATAGTGAATGCAGGGTCCGGGGAGACCAGATAGAGTGAATGCAGGGTCTGCGGAGACCAGATAGAGTGAATGCAGGGTCTGCGGAGACCAGATATAGTGAATGCAGGGTCCGGGGAGACCAGATAGAGTGAATGCAGGGTCTGCGGAGACCGGATATAGTGAATGCAGGGTCTGCGGAGACCGGATAGAGTGAATGCAGGGTCTGCGGAGACCAGATATAGTGAATGCAGGGTCCGGGAGAGCGGATATAGTAAATGCGGGGTCCGAGGTTTAGTAACACTTTAAGTTTACTTATGCTGATATACTCCTAAAACTACTTTGAGTTGTAATTATTGTTATTGATCCTTCCTGGACCCTGATAGGGATCTATAGGCTTTGTGCCCACCACCATCATATTTTCCTATCCGCCACAATCAAGTGTACCATGAGACTAGACGTATGGGGGAAGTCGGCTGTGAAATATGAATGAGAATGTATAATTTAGATCCCAATGACCTTTTAAACCCTCTTCTGCTAACTGAAGCAGAAAATGAGCTAGACGGGTGAATTATCGTCTATGTGACCAGCTCCGTTCTTTGTAATACAGACAGGGTCATTATAAGGGCTGCCGTATTCTGCATTCTGATGTAAGTGATGCTCGATGGATGGCAGTAAACAAAGAGCTTGTTCAGAAACATAGAAAGCAGTGACATCCATGTATAATTACATTGAACTCCGGGCAGATGTAAAAGAAATTAAAGACATATACCACATAAAAATAATCTTTAACAATGGGGCACTATTCCTTCCAATGACACCAAGGACGGACACTAGTTCTCCCACTGAAACCAACAATGAGGCACTATTCCCTCTACTGATCAAAAAACGGGGGACTATTCCTTCCACTGAAATTAACAATGCGAGCACGATTCCTCCCACCAATACCAATGATGGGACACCATTCCTCCCACTGACACCAATAATGGGGCACTATTCCTCCCACAGACACCAATAATGGGGCACTATTCCTCCCACTGACACCAATAATGGGGCACTATTCCGCCCCACTGACACCAATGATGGGGTATTATTCCTCCCACTGACACCAATGATGGGGCACTATTCCTCCCACTGACACCAATAATGGGGCACTATTCCTCCCACAGACACCAATAATGGGGCACTATTCCGCCCACTGACACCAATGATGGGGTATTATTCCTCCCACTGACACCAATGATGGGTTATTATTCCTCCCACTGACACCAATGATGGGGCACTATTCCTCCCACTAATGCCAATGATATGGCACTATTCCTACCACTGACACCAGCTATGGGGCACTATTCCTCCCACTGACACCAATGATGGGGTATTATTCCTCACACTGACACCAATGATGGGGCACTGTTCCTCCCACTGATACCAATGATGGGACACTATTCCTCCCACTAATACCAATGATGGGGCACTGTTCCTACCGCTAATACCAATGATGGGGCACTATTCCTCTCACTGACAGCAAATATGGGGTATGATTCCTTCCACAGACACCAGTGATCCGGCACTATTCCTGCAACTGACACCAATGATGGGGCACTATTCCTCCAACTGACACCAATGATGGGGCACTATTCCTGCAACTGACACCAATGATGGGGCACTATTCCTGCAACTGACACCAATGATGGGGCACTATTCCTGCAACTGACACCAATGATGGGGCACTATTCCTGCAACTGACACCAATGATGGGTCACTATTCCTCCCACTGATACCAATGATGGGGCACTACCCTTCCCACTGATACCAATGATGCAGCACTATTTCCTCCACTGACACCAATGACAGGAAATTATTCCTCCCGCTCAAACCAATGATGGGGCACAATTCCTTCTACTGAAACTAATGATAGGGCACCATTCCTCCCACTAATACCAAAGAATGATGCAGAGGAGGACTGTTGGAAGTGTTGTGGTCAGATGAGACCAAAATCCAGCTCTTTGGCATCAACTCAACTCGCCGTGTTTGGAGAAGGAGGAATGCTGCCTATGACCCCAAGAACACCATCCCAACTGTCAGACATGGTGGTGGAAACATTCTGCTTTGAGGGTGTTTTTCTGCTAAGGCGACGGGACAACTGCACCGCATCAAAGGGACGATGGACGGGGCAATGTACCGTCAAATCTTGGGTGAGAACCTTCTTCCCTCAGCCAGGGCATTGAAAATGGGGTCGTGGATGGGTGTTCCAGCATGACAATGACCCAAAATACACGGCCAAGGCAACAAAGGAGTGGCTCAAGAAGAAGCACATTAAGGTCCTGGAGTGGCCTAGCCAGTCTCCACACCTTAATCCGATTGAAAATCTGTGGAGGGAGCTGAAAGTTCGAGTTATAAAACATCAGCCATCAAACCTTAATGACTTGGAGAGGATCTGCCAAGAGGAGTGGGCCAAAATCCCTCCTGAGATGTGTGCAAACCTGGGGGCCCAACTACAGGAAACGTCTGACAACTGTGATTGCCAACAAGGGATTTGCACCAAGTACTAAGTCATGCTTTGTGATGGGGATCAAATACTTATTTCCCTCATGAACATGCAGATCAGTCATCATTTGTTAGATATGCATTTCTTTTGAATTTTTTGTTGCTATTCTGTCTCTCAGTGTTACAATACACCGACCATTCGATTTTTAGACCGATCATTTCTTTGTGAGTGGGCAAACATTCTAAATCAGCAGGGGATCAAATACTTATTTCCTTCACTGTATAAATCTTTTGGCGCATTGGCCAGTCTGTGAACGTTGTATTTCAACCGCACATTTGGCCGCTTGCCTGGTGTTCAGCTTCAAATAATACAGTCATGGCCGAAATTGTTGGCACCCTTGATATTTTTCCTGAAAATCAAGTATTTCACACAAAAAAGGTATTGCATTAACACATGTTTTGCTATACACATGTTTATTCCCTTTGTATGTATTGGAACAAATATAAAACAGAGGCAGAAAAGCAAATATGACATAATGTCACACAAAACCCCAAAAATGGGCTGGACAAAAGTATTGGCACCCTTAACTTAATATTTGGTTGCACACCCTTTGGAAAACATAACTGAAATCAGTCGCTTCCTATAACCATCAATAAGCTTCTGACACCTCTCACCCGGAATTTTGGACCACTCTTCCTTTGCAAACAGCTCCAGGTCTCTCTTATTGGAAGGACACCTTTTCCCAACAGCAATTTTAAGATCTCTCCACAGGTGTTCAATGGGATTTAGATCTGGGCTCATTGCTGGCCACTTCAGAACTCTCCAGCGCTTCTTTGCCATCCATTTCTGAGTGCTTTTTGACGTATGTTTGGGGTCATTGTCCTGCTGGAAGACCCAGGATCTTGGACGCAAACCCAGCTTTCTGACACTGGGTCCTACAGTGCGACCCAAAATCCTTTGGTAATCCTCAGATTTCATGATGCCTTGCACACAGTCAAGGCACCCAGTGCCAGAGGCAGCAAAAAACCCCAAAACATCATTGAACCTCCACCATATTTTACCGTAGGTACTGTGTTTTGTTCTTTGTAGGCCTCATTCCGTTTTCGGTAAACAGTAGAATGATGTGCTTTACCGAAAAGCTCTATCTTGGTCTCATCTGTCCACAAGACGTTTTCCCAGAAGGCTTTTGGCTTACTCAAGTACATTTTGGCAAACTGTAGTCTTGCTTTTTTATGTCTCTGTGTCAGCAGTGGGGTCCTCCTGGGTCTCCTGCCATAGCGTTTCATTTCATTTAAATGTCGACGGATAGTTCGCGCTGACACTGATGCTCCCTGAGCCTGCAGGACAGCTTGAATGTCTTTGGAACATGTTTGGGGCTGCTTATCCACCATCCGGACTATTCTGCGTTGCAATCTTTCATCAATTTTCCTCATCCGTCCACGACCAGGGAGATTAGCTACAGTGCCATGGGTTGCAAACTTCTTGATAATGTTGCGCACTGTGGACAAAGGCAAATCTAGTTCTCTGGAGATGGACTTGTAACCTTGAGATTGTTGATATTTTGCCACAATTTTGGTTCTCAGGTCCTCAGACAGTTCTCGTCTCCTCTTTCTGTTGTCCATGCTTAGTGTGGCACAGACAGACACACAATGCAAAGGTTAAGTGAACGTCTCTCCTTTTTATCTGCTTTCAGGTGTGATTTCTATATTGCCCACACCTGTTACTTGCCCCAGGTGAGTTTACAGGAGCATCACATGCTTGTAACATTCTTATTTATCCGCAGTTGTGAAAGGGTGCCAATACTTTTGTCCAGCCCATTTTTGGAGGTTTGTGTGACATTATGTCGAATTTGCTTTCTTTCCTCCCTTTTTTTGTTTTGTCCCAATACACACAAAGGGAATAAACATGTGTATAGCAAAACATGTGTTAATGCAATACGTTTCGTGAGAAATACATGATTTCCTGGAGAAATATCAAGGGTGCCAACAATTTCGGCCATGACTGTAGATGTGAGGGAGGACTCTGCCTTCTACTGCTATGGAGGCCTAAAAGATTAAAGGGCAGCAAAGACATTGCGGCTGGAGCTGGGCGATAACTTCACCTTCATGTGAAACCCTCTTGTTAGGCAAGTGCAAGGATAACTATGACAAAGCTTTGACATTTCTCACCTCCTGTTTATTCCGAGACAAATAGTTGGGGTCAATACCGCCGAGGGAGAAAAATTTGGCAGAACGTGGTTCAGGATTTTAGCTGCAAACACCTGTTAGGAAAAAAAAAATATTAATGGAAAAAAAAAATATGACCTGCTTCTGAAAATGCCAGTTTCCTGGCTCTAATGCTGTTATAATGGCTTTAACACTTTCTGAGTCCCGGAAAAACTGTGCCGAAAAGTCAGAGAAAAGTGAAAAGTTCCATATCAGAAACTCAAGGTAGGCAGCTTGCTTCAATCCGAATTTGGATTTTTTTCGTTATTTGGATGTCTCTGAATTTTCGAATTACATTAGTAATGAATCTAAACTAAACAAAATTCGGACGAAATTCAAATTCGCATCAAATTTGACTAGAAAAAGAATAGAATAGATTAGAACAGAATGAACACTAAAAGAATAAAATAGAATAGAAAAGAATAGATTATAGAATAGAAAAGAATAGATTATAGAATAGAAAAGAATAGAATAGAAAAAACAAATGAAGAGAATAAAATAGAAAGAATATAACTGTCTTCCGAAATTCAAATAGAATAAATTATAAGTCAAATAGAATAGAACAGAAAAGAGAATAGAATATAATAGAAAGAATATAAGTGTCTTCTGAAATTCAAATAGAATAAAACAGAAAATAATAGAATACAATGAAATAGAAAGAATAACTGCCTTCCGAATTTGAATAGAATAAATTCTAATTCAAATAATTGACTAGAACAGAAAAGAATAGAATAGATTAGAACAGAATGGACAAAAGAATAAAATAGAATATAAAAGAATAAAATACAATATAAAAGAATAGAATAGATTATAGAATAGAAAAGAATAGAATAGAAACAAACAAATGAAGAGAATAAAATAGAAAGAATATAACTGTCTTCCAAAATTCAAATAGAATAAATTATAAGTCAAATAGAATAGAACAGAAAAGAATAGACTAGAATAAAATAGAAAGAATATAACTGTCTTTCAAAATTTGAATAGAATAAATTCTAATTCAAATATTAGAACAGAAAAGAATAGAATAGAATAATTGCTCAAAAAAAGTTCAAGTTTGCTGTGATTTACCACGTTTTGCCGCCTTAGAGCGTTTTTACAGCTAAAAAACTCCTCTAGAAAGCCAAAAACAGCCGCTGTAAAAACGCCCCGTGTGCATGAGGACTTCAAATTGTGTGCGCCCGTGAAACTTCCAAAAACTTTGGTTCCCTATAGTTTACATAGGTGATGCTTTGAACGCCCCTACGGGTCATTTCAGAGCTAACTGTGAATAATGGTCCTAGATAAGCACCTTCCTATTGTATTGGCATTTGGGGAAGGTGTCTAAATAGGATGGTGCGGTCTCACAGGCACTGGAGGTAGACCGCAGTGCACTTAGTAATCAGCACTCAGTAACAGACGTGCCCAGAAGTGCTCCCTTCTCCTTCTGCACAATTTAATGCCGGCCATAGCCGGGTCGAAAATCGGCCGAACAAAAATCGGCCAATTTTCGCACTGTTAGTGGGTTAATTGGTCGGCCGTTTTTCGGGCTTTTTGCACATTTTTTTTATCAGGCATGTTTGAAAATTTGCGGCCGATTTTGACGATTTTCCCGGCAATGATGGGCAAATCAGCCAATCGTTTTACTGATAAAAAATCTGCGCATGAGCCGTGACCTGCAAGAAGAAGAAGAAGAATATGAAGAAGAAAAAGAAGAAGAAAAAGAAAAAGAAGAAGAAGAAGAAAAAGAAGAAGAAGAAGAAGAAAAAAAAGAAGAAAAAGAAGAGAAAAAAAAAAAAGAAGAGGAAAATAAGAAGAAGAAAAATAAGAAGAAAAATAAGAAGAAGAAAAAGAAGAAGAAGAATTCCAGTCCACTATTGTATTTTACATGAAAAAGTCTTGCGGTTGCAACAATGTATCTATTTGTATCCAAATAAAAACTTCTGTATCCGAAATGGATACATTGCTGCAACCGCAAGACTTTTTCATGTAAAATATAATAGCGGAGCTCTCTGCAGGGACAGAAGTAATTATGGGGTTAAATGCTGGCTATAGACAGGACGAAAATCTGCCTTTTTTTTACCGTTGGTGGTAACGTCGGCCGGCCGATCGAACGACCGATTTTTCGTTGTTTTTTTTTTTTTTTTTTAAACGGCCAGTTTTCGACCCTTCTATGGCCTGCTTTAGTCTGTGTCAGGACACTTGTGATGAGAGGTGTGGCTGCTACTCAGCTCTGCCAATGCAGAGCACTGGAGTGGGAGAGTGGGAATCAATATTTTACTGAGAACGGGGGAAGGGTTGCAGGGACCAATGGTCCAAACACTGCTGCACAGGCTACAAACCCCCCTGTTTTTTTTGCAGCACACTCCCCCCCCCCCCCCCCAGATAATTCGATCATTGAACAGATCTTACCTTGAAAGAAGAAGCCGACTCCGGGTTAGGCAACACCAGCGGTGATATCAGGATCATGCCGGAGAATTCAGCTGGCCTCTCGTTGGCCATCAAAATGCTAATAGCGCCCCCCTAGGCCAAAATAAATAAATACATTTGCAACTTTTTGAAAAACAATTTATCTTATTCACGATTTGATTTTTTATAATACATTTTAATACAGATTTATATTTTTTTGTTATCAAATCTATAAGAAGTAAAAACAGAATCGCACGCTAAGCCCCCGGTCACATCAAAGCCGATTTTGAAATTGTGTGACTTGCAGGGAAGTCGCACGATTTCAAAATCGGGTGACTTGACGATTTCAGTTGCGATTTGCAAGACATCTGACACAGATGTCTATGCAAATTGCAGCAAAAGTAGTGAATGTACTACTCTAGAAATCAGTGCGCTCTGACCAAGTCGGGACCGCACCAATATGACCGCTGTAATAGCGGACAATAGGGTGCGACTTGGCATACCATTTGCAAGTCGCAGGGCATGCAAGTCGCACCCGATGTGGCCGGAGTGTATAGCATTTTCATAACTTTAGTAACCTCTTCACTGATATGAGACTAGTATGCATAAAAACAAACAAACGATCATTCGTCCGATATTCTAAATGTGTATACGGGGCATTAGGGAGATTCACCCTCTTTATTTGTTATTGCCAAAAATTAAAGTGAAAGCAAATCCCAAATTGTGGGTTGTCACAAGAACAGGAATAGGGTAGAAATCATCCAATGGGGACACTGGTTCAGGTGAAAAATTCAGCATTGCTGAAGGGATTTCCTCTCATTTCCTGTTTTGGCTGTGCAACAGAAAGTGAAAAGAAATTTTGATCGAACAAAAAAGAACAGGGGTTATAACGTTCCCTTATGCAGGCCATAGACGGGTTGAAAATCGTCCGATATTCGCAGTTAGTGACTTAATTGGTCGGCTGTTCTTCGGGGTTTTGGCACATTTTTTTTATCTGTAAATTTGGAAAACTTTTGACAATCAGACGATTTTTTCCCGGAATTGATGGGCAAATCGATAAAAAAACGATAAAAAATCTGCGCATGAGCCGTGACTTGCAAGAAGAGAAAAGAAGAAGAAAAAAAGAAGAAGTAGAAAAGAAGAAGAAAAGAAGAAGAAGAGGAAGAAGTAGAAGAGGAATAAGTAGAAGAAGAAGAAGAGGAAGAAGGAAAAAGAAGAAGTAGAAAAGAAGTAGAAAAGAAGAAGTAGAAAAAGAAGAAGAAAAAAAGAAGAAGAAGTAGAAGAGGAATAAGTAGAAGAGGAAGAAGAAGAAGCAGAAGAAAAGAAGAAGAATTAGAAAAAGAAGGAGTAGAAAAGAAGAAGTAAAAAAAAAGAAGAAAAAGAAGAAGTAGAAGAGGAATAAGTAGAAGAAGAAGAGGAAGAAGGAAAAAGAAGAAGTAGAAAAGAAGAAGTAGAAAAAGAAGAAGAAAAAAAGAAGAAGAAGTAGAAGAGGAATAAGTAGAAGAGGAAGAAGAAGAAGCAGAAGAAAAGAAGAAGAATTAGAAAAAGGAGTAGAAAAGAAGAAGAAGTAGAAAAAGAAGAAGAAAAAGAAGAAGTAGAAGAGGAATAAGTAGAAGAAGAAGAAGAAAAAGAGGCAGAAGAAGAAAAGAAGAAGTAGCAGAAGAAAAAGAAGAAGAAGAAGGAGAAGCAGAAAAAAAAGAAGAAGCAGAAACAGAAGTAGAAAAAAAAAGAAGAAAAAGAAGTCCGCTATTATATTTGACATGAAAAAGTCTTGCGGTTGCAACAATGTATCTATTTGTATCCGAATAATAACATCTGTATCTGAAATGGATACAAATAGATACATTGTTGCAACCACAAGACTTTTTCATGTCAAATATAATAGCGGAGCTCTCTGCAGGGACAGAAGTAATTAAATGCCGGACGTAAACGGGCCGAAAATTTTTTTACCGTTGGTGGTAATGTTGGCTGATTGAACGACCGATTTTCCATTTTTTTTTTTTAAACGGACGATTTTTGACCCATCTATGGCCTGCATTACTCTATCCAAAATGGAAAAAAACTGCTCAGTTTTGCTTGAGCCCAGGTTCACAATTGTGCGGAACGTCATTTCGCATGTGATTTGCATGGGAACCGCACCGCATTCCTGTGCAAATCACATGCGATTTCTGTGCAGTTGGATTTCAGCCATACATTTTTCTATGGCTCAAATCGCACCGCACCCACACCAAAAACAGGTGCAGGACCCTTTTTTTGTCCGCACTAGAATCATATCGCACGGGTATTAACACCCATGCGATCCGATTCGGCAGATCACACCACGTTTTGTGAACCAATTTCAGGGTTTCGTTAACATACGCACCCGCAGCAATTTTCATGAACGGGGTGCGATTGTGATGCGGTGTGGAATTCACACAGAAACCAGCGCAAATTCCGCACCGCATCAGTGTGAGCCCAGGCTTAAAGTACGGTACACCCAAAACCAACACTTCAGCCCTGGTTCACACCAGTGCAGCTTAAATCGTGCAACTTCAGCGCGACTACAAAAAAACGCAGATAAATGCGGTTTGGGTGTTCGATTTCATTGCAGCCTGCAACTTCATTTAACAGAAGTCAATGCAAGCCGCGATGAAGCTGCAGAAAAATAGTGCCGGAACCTTTTTCAAAGTCGCTGCAACTTGAGCTGCAATGATTTGATCGGTTCCATTGCTGAAAAATAGGGTGCGACTTGTCATGTGATTTTGAACTGTCAAATCGCATGACAAATTGCTCTGGTTCACACAAGTGCGGCTTTTGAAATTGTGCAACTTCAGTAACTTCAGATAAGTGCGCTTTGGATGTTCAACTTGCAATTTCATTCAACAGAAGTCAATGCAAGCTGCAATGAAACTGCAGAAAAATAGTTCCGGAACCTTTTTCAAAGTCGCTGCAACTTGAGCTGCAATGATTTGATCAGTTCCATTGCTAAAAATAGGGTGCGACTTGTCATGTGATTTTGAACTGTCAAATCGCATGACAAATTGCTCTAGTTCACACCAGGGCGGCTTCAGTGCAATTTCAAAACCACAGACCGGTGCAATTTGGATCTCTTATTTCATTGCGGCTTGCAACTTCATTTAATAGAAGTCAATGCAGGCCGCGATGAAATGGCAGAAAAGTAGTGCAGGAAACTTTTTCAGTCACTGCGATTTGAGTCGCAAAGATATGAACAGTTCCACTGGCACAAATGAAGTGCGCCTTGTCATGCGATTTTGAACTGCCAAATCGCATGATAGATTGCCTCGGTGTGAGGCAGGGTTTAGCCGTGGTTCACACCAGTGCAACTATGAAATCGCCCTACTTCAGCGCGATTTCAAAGCCACAGATCTGTGCAATTTGGATCTGCGATTTCAGTGCGGTTTGCAACTTCATTTAACAGAAGTCAATGCAAGCTGCAATCAAACTGCAGAAAAGTAGCGCAGGAACCTTTTTTCAAAGTCTCAGCGACTTGATTCACAATGATACGAACGGTTCCATTGCTGAAAATAGGGTGCAACTTGTCATGTGATTTTGAACTGTCAAATCGCATCACAAATTGTCTTGGTGTGAACCGGGGATAACAGCCTTTTTCCCATCTGCACATCCTGGGAATACATGAAGAAATGCCGACTTCCTGGAACATGCGAAAAACGCATGAAAAAAACAGCATGATGCGCTTGTAGTGAATTTTGGAACAGCTCAACTTTGGAAAAGGTTCTGGAGCTTTTTTTTTTGTGGTGCCATTACTATATGTAGACAAACTCAAGTGAATGGGCTGCCCTATGCTGTAAAAATCGCACGAAAAATGTGTAAGAAAAGCAACGCGGCAGTGTGAACAGGACTCAATCTCATGCAACCTTGAATGTGCTCAAGTCATATGAAATATTGTGAAGTCTGCAGCGTTCTTTGATCCAAAAATCTGGTGATCCAGCCATGAGGCTTCTTGTCCTAGAAAAGGGTTTACAGGAAGTGCTTGTCAACCCTGCAGCAGGCACTTCCTGTTATGTGGTGACAACGCTCTGCCCTTACCCCGCAATGGTTCTTCTGCATTGTACCCAGTCACAGGGGCTTCTAATGGAGAATACAAGTGGTCGTTCCAACACACATTACACAAGCATGGACCACCGTTGTCATCATCAGGAAACCCAACGAAAGAAGGACATGGCTGCAAAGAGACTGCAGGAGATCAGCAGAACTGGGATGGAACAAAGGGCGAAGGAGGAGTTTGGTGCAGCTATTTAGTGAGATCTAGGTGCCGGTGTACTGAATATACGTTTATTACCATGGAGTGTCCACAGATAAACAGCGGTACATTTGGGTGCTCCTTCCGCATCAGGTCCACGTGCTGAAGGCCGTCCCTGACAAACACATGGAAGTCGGATACCGTCATCCTGTCACCATCGCTCTGTCCGTGGCCAACTGGCAAAATAAAAGAAAAAAAACGGGAAATGAGACTCAGGAATCATCACATGACATCATAATCATCAAATGCTAAGAGCGGGCATTGCATCGAACCAGGGGAGGACTGACAACTCATGGGGCCCCCGGGCAATAGGGGATCATGGGGCCCCTGTTTCCTCGCCCACACTCAAACCACACGCAAAAAAGTCTATGAAAGGTACCAGGGGCATCTCATGGGGCCCCCTACTGACCCCGGGCCCTGGGGCAGTGCCCGAGTTTCCAAATGGTCAGTCCGCCCCTGTATCGAACCCATTCATGGTGACATCCTTCCTTGCAGATTGTGGGCTGTGCGATTTCACAGTACGTTTTGGAACACGCATTTTTGATGCGTTTTGCAGGGGTTTTTCTGCCAATAGGAAAGTATTAACTTTGATGCGACTTTGGATGGACGCGACTTTGATGCTACTTTAGTGTCAGAACTGTTATACTTCCCCATTAGATTGTAAGCTCCCAGGATCAGGGCCCTCCTATCCCTCTTGTATTGAACTGTTGCTGTATTGTCTCCCATTATATTGTAAAGTGCTGAGCAAACTGTTGGCGCTATATAAATCCTGTATAATAATAATAATATATATAAATCCTGTATAATAATAATATTATAATATATATAATATATAAAATCCTGTATAATAATATATATAAATCCTGTATAATAATAATATATAAATCCTGTATAATAATAATAATAATATATAAAATCCTGTATAATAATAATATAATAAATCCTGTATAATAATAATAATATATAAATCCTGTATAATAATAATAATAATATAGAAATCCTGTATAATAATAATAATATAGAAATCCTGTATAATAATAATTAGCAACAAAAAAAAAGTCACATCAAGATCGCATCAACGTTGCATCCATCCAAAGCTGCATCAAAGTTTTATTTTTGGAGACATATCTGTGCCATGACAGCAGTGCGGGGTGGGGTGAGTGAAGGCATGAAGAACAGGGCCTGAAGTTCTGCTTTCAGGTTAGGTTCACATCTATGCACATTGCGGATTGTGAGATTTAACAGCGTGTTTTGCGTTTTGGAACAAGTCTTTTTGATGCGTTTTGCAGGGCGGTGTTTGTTATAAGGAATGTATTGACTTTGATGCCACTTTAATGTGGCTTTGGATGGGCGCTGCTTTGAGCCCGGGTTCACACTGATGCTGGGCGGAATTCGCAGTGGTTTCAGTGCGAATTCTGCACCGCATCAGAATCGCACCCCGTTCATGCGAAGCGCTGCGGGTGTGTATGTTAAGCAGGGGCGGACTGACCATTTGGAAACTTGGGCACTGCCCGAGGGCCCGGGGTCAGTAGGGGGCCTCATGAGATGCCCCTGGCACCTTTTTCATAGGCTTTTATGAGTTTGGGCAAGGACACAGGGGCCCCATGATCCCCTATTGCCCGGGGGGCCCCATGAGTTGTCAGTCCGCCCCTGATGTTAAGTTAACATCACCCCGTAAGCAGTCCGCAAAACGTGGTGCAATGTGCAGAATCGAATCACATAGGTGTGAATGCCCATGCAATCTGATTGTAGTGTGGACCCCAAAAAGGGTCCTGCTTGTTTTTGGTGTGGGTGCAATGCAAGTATGGCTGCAATCACACATGATTTGTACAGGAATGCGGTGTCTGTGCAAATTACCACACCACATGTATGTGAACCCAGGCTGATGCTACTTTGATACTACTTGAATGTCAGAGAGTGTAAAGTTGCACTACATGGACAGAACTGTTATTTATTTATCTCAGGTACTTATATATCGCCATCAATTTACGCAGCACTTTACATATATATTGTACATTCACATCATTACCCTAACCCTCAAGGGGTGTACAATCTAAGGTCCCTAACCCTCAAGGGGCGTACAATCTAAGGTCCCTAACCCTCAAGGGGCGTACAATCTAAGGTCCCTGACCCTCAAGGGGCGTACAATCTAAGGTCCCTAACCCTCAAGGGGCGTACAATCTAAGGCCCCTAACCCTCAAGGGGCGTACAGTCTAAGGTCCCTAACCCTCAAGGGGCATACAATCTAAGGTCCCTGACCCTCAAGGGGCATACAATCTAAGGTCCCTGACCCTCAAGGGGCGTACAATGTAAGGTCCCTGACCCTCAAGGGGTGTACAATCTAAGGTCCTTAACCCTCAAGGGGGGTACAATCTAAGGTCCCTAACTCACATTCATACATACATATACTAGGGACAATTTAGACAGGATCCAATTCACCTACCAGCATGTCTTTGGAGTGTGGGAGGAAACCGGAGTACCCAGAGGAAACCCACGCAGGCACAGGGAGAACATGCAAACTCCAGGCAGGTGGTGCCATGGTCGGGATTTGAACCAACGACCCGAGTACTGCCAGGCGGAAGTGCTAACCATTTAGCCACTGTGCTGCCCATATTGATAACTATTTTCTGGTATTATGGGATGTTTTTGTATTTTTTATCTTGCCGTGACATACCCTTTAAGTACCAGAAATCTAATGCTGGATGCCGTTAGGGACACGTGACGTCAGACGCATCGACGTTGACAGGAAGTGCGATCGCGGCCATCTTGGAAGTGGGAACATGTGGCCAGTGTTTCCCTAGTCAGTCTGCATGTGCATTCTTATGAGGAGGAGCTGCCTTATCCGAATTGTAATGTGAGTTATTGAATAAAGAATGGTATTTTATTGAAACTACTATATATAATTGCGGTCTTTCTTATGAGGAGAGTGGAAGGAAAACTTTAATACTGGACCTAATATTGGATGGAATCCGACAGCTAAGAAGTGAATCCAGATCTTTGTTATGCCCTATTTTCTGGTATATAGGGTAATTATCCATTTACACACGAGTTGGAGATTTTTTGGGTGTGAGGATAAAGTGATCACTGATGCATATGTAGTGTGGTGGTACACATTTGCAGTGATCATTTTTGAGTTGTCTATACACAGAGTTTAGAGCAGCAATGGGCAAACTACGGCCCGCGGGCCGTATACGGCCCGGCGGACCTTTTAATCCGGCCCGCGGAGCTAGGCTCCCGCAAGGCCAGTGGTCGGCAAGCCGCGGCTCTTTACAAATTTAGATGCGGCTCTCCTGTGTGCCGGCGCGCCGCTCCCCTCCCTCCTCTCCCCTCCCCTCCCCTCCTCTCCCCTCCCCTCCCCTCCCCTCCCCTCCTCTCCTCTCCCCTCCCCTCCCCTCCCCTCCTCTCCTCCCCTCCCCCTCCCCTCCCCTCCCCTCCTCTCCCCTCCCCTCCCCTCCTCTCCTCTCCCCTCCCCTCCTCTCCTCTCCCCTCCCCTCCTCTCGGATGGCCGCCCCCCCTCTCGGATGGCCGCCCCCCTCCCTCCTCTCGGACGTCAGGACTCTGCAGCTGTCAGGATGTAGGCGGGGGCAGCGTGACGAACTCCTCTCACAGTCCTCCCTGAAGACCAGAACGGCGCGGGAATACGAGAGGAACGCGCGGACCAAAGGTAAGTGAATTGACACAGGGGGGGGACTTACTATATGGGGGATGAATTACTATATGGGGGACTTACTATAGGGGGAATGAATTACTATATGGAGGACTTACTATATGGGGAATGAATTACTATATGGAGGACTTACTATATGGGGAATTAATTTACTATATGGAGGACTTACTATATGGGGAATGAATTACTATATGGGGGACTTACTATATGGGGAATGAATTACTATATGGGGGACTTACTATATGGGGAATGAATTACTATATGGAGGACTTACTATATGGGGGATGAATTACTATATGGAGGACTTACTATATGGGGAATGAATTACTATATGGAGGACTTACTATATGGGGAATGAATTACTATATGGGGGACTTACTATATGGGGAATGAATTACTATATGGAGGACTTACTATATGGGGAATGAATTACTATATGGGGGACTTACTATATGGGGGATGAATTACTATATGGGGGGAATTAATATGGGGGGGATGAATTACTATGTGGGGGATGAATTACTATATGGGGGATGAATTACTATGGGGGATGAATTTACTATATGGGGGATGAATTACTATGGGGGATGAATTACTATAGGGGGGATGAATTACTATGGGGGACAAATTACTATATGGGGGACGAATTACTATATGGGGACGAAATTACTATATGGGGGATGAATTACTATGGGGGATGAATTACTATATGGGGGATGAATTTACTATGGGGGATGAATTACTATATGGGGGATTAATTACTATATGGGGGATTAATTACTATGGGGGATTAATTACTATGCTTACTATGGGGGAATATTACTCTATACTTACTATGGATGACACAATACACATCATTCATCTACTCTTGGTCCGGCCCCCCGGGTCCAATATATGACCCATTGCGGCCCTCAAGTCAAAAAGTTTGCCCACCCCCTGGTTTAGAGTGTACACGGTTTGTGAATGTTTCACTGAATAACGGGATACAATATAATTTTTTTTTTCTTTTTTTCTGTGTGTTTTGTTTGTTCACTAATATTGCATGTTGCACTGGAAGGGGCACGTGTGTATTTGTATCTTTTAAAAAGGTATGACACTATGTTAAGTTTTTTTCTTTGAGGGATACTGTCATCAGAACTTGCGGGTGTTGAGAGAAAAGATTTTTCGTTGAAAGAAGAAATGAAAGAGACTTGGTTGAACATTTAGTTTACACAAGTGGGGATTTGTTTTGGACACTTGATGGGGTTTTGTTAAAGAAAAGTTTTGTACACAATTTTTGATTAACCTTCAGGGGTGGAGGTGGATTACTTTTCAGGGAATTGTTTGTGCTGTGTATTTGAAAATGGATGCCGACCCCGCCCATCGACTGCGACCTATCAGTGGCCTTATCTTTATAATGCGACCTCACACAGCCGGCCTATCTTTGTGTATCCCAGGTTTCTGAGTTCAGTTCAGGACAGGGCAGAGCCCTCCTGAAAACGTGCCGCGTCATCATGTCTCTAGCAATCAGTATTATGGGGAAGTGCAATTTCCATCAGTTGAAGAGTCACCACTTAAAGCT